GTAATATATCATATACTTGTCTGATAGGCGTTTTTGTTTTTTTTTTCTTTCTTTTTTTTTTTTTTTCCCCTAGAGGACTCCCAACATTGTAAACATGATTTGCTCCTTTTTGGCAGGGTTGCATGGCACACGTCAAGAAGAAATGATTGATCACAGGCTAACAGACAGAGAATGGGCAGAAGAGTGGAAACACCTTGACCATGTAAGGACTAAATATACTCTTACGTATAATTATCTGAAAGGAGCCCTTCTAAGGTAGAAATCTAAACTTTTTCTTTTAAAACTAATCTGAATCCCTGGACAAGTTTTGAAAACATTGGTGATTAAATCTAGGGGCATGATGTTCCTCATCAGGTAGATCTTATTAGGCCTTGCTGTTCAAATGCATATGGCATTATCCTAAGGATTACAGACTGCCAAAATGGTGGTGGAAACTGCTCCATAAATCCTGGATCTGGGACACGTGACTGTCACAGGTTAATTGAATTTGCACTTAGTTTCTTGGCTCTTCTAACATTTGTAGGCATCAGTTCTGGACCAGACCTCCTGGCCTCTTTGGTGCCATGTGGTATTAGTGGTAGAGCTACAGTCTGTTACGTCTTTTCCTCCTTGTCTTCTCCCTTTCCACCAGAAATGAATATATGTACAGTTCAGGATCACCAGGTAGAAGGTATTGTCATTCTTAAAAGCAAAACAAGGATTTTCCAGCTGTATTTGAAATAATAGGGATAAGAGACTTATTAATTCTTAAAACCCAGGCACTCACCACATTCATCTTTTACTGCCTTTTTTTGTCCCTTTAATGATTTTTTTTTTTTTTTTTTTCTTTCATTACTCTATTCACCACCGTGAATAGCTGTTAAATTGTATAATGGACATGGTGGAAAAAACTAGGCGATCTCTCACCGTGCTACGGCGATGTCAAGAAGCAGACCGGGAGGAGCTCAATTACTGGATACGGCGGTACAGCGATGCGGAAGATTTAAAAAAAGGCGGTAACAGCAGCAGTAGTCATTCCCGACAGCAGAGTCCAGTGAATCCGGATCCAGTTACATTAGGTACAGTATCCTCATTAAAAATTGTCTTGTCGATCCTGTTCCAGCTCAGCTATGTGCAGAGTGAAGTTCGTGTTTGTTTTTCTGATTCGTATTTGGTGACAGTGATGAAATTCACCTCCTTGCTGGCTGTTGAATTAACTATAAGCCCTGTACCCTAATAGTCATGTTTACATGTGAAATGGTTTGGAGGTTTTGATGTTACTGGGTAACTTGCTTTCCATCCAGCAATGCTGGAGAGTGGTGGGGCAGGAGGACAGACTGTCATGGAGGGATGGCAGAGCAGTGAGATGGTTACCGACTCCATCTCCTCCAACTCCCTCTCTTGCCTGCTTGATTAAGGAAATCTGTTGGCATTTCTGGACTGTTAGTACTGTGAAATCAAAGGATTTCACCTTCTGAAATCAAATTACTTAACTTGGACTTAGTCTTTTCTGAGGAAATTAAGGGAGATACAAAGATGTGGGCACTTCTTAGCTGTCTTTCCATTTAAGAAAGAAACAACACTGGGGACACCCAATAGCCATGCACGTAAGATCTTTCTAAGTCTGTGTGCACCACTGCAGCTCACACAGGTTTGTCTGATCTAGTTTGGGTACTGCTTGCTGTGTACTTTACACAGACACACTTGGAGCTGAGCTCAAGCTTCAAAGCCCACTTACAAGGAGTAGTTGGTCTTTCAGACCTGCAGACCTTCACAGTCAGTCACATGGTACCTCGTACAGTGACTTCAAGATAACTCTGCTGTATTAAAAGAAAATATTTTACTTTGTGGATTTTCTGTAGTTTATTAATATGTTGACTTGCTTCTATGCCATCCCTGCTTTTATGGAAGGTGTGGTAAAGAAACACGTCTTAGTAATGTCTTTTTATTTTTGCCTGCTCTTTTGAATAGAAAACAAACTATGATTTATTGTCTTAATATTTATCTTAAACAAAAGATTGTACATATTGAATTCCCTCTACCTAAAATCATCACAGACTGGTCATTAGTAGAACTGAATGTGTATGTTACTTTTCAACTATATTTTATTTACAGTTGTGTTTTCCTTTTGCCCTTAAGAATAACTTGTTAAAGGCAAAACTTATTTAATTGCAAATAGAAAAGCAGAAAAATAAATATAACGCCCTTCCCCTCTTCCTCTTGGTAAATCTCTGGAGTTCTGACTGTAATATTCAGTGCCTCTTGATAACATACCAACATTTTTGTGTGTGTCAAATGATCTGAGTCAATAGCTCTATAAATTAAATGCAGTTAGTGAAAGGAAGAGTTATGAAAATGCTGTTCCCAACTTCACTAATAAGTCTAGTCCCTAGAGGAGCCCTTCTCAGAAAGAAGCATTCAGGTAATGGCTTATATGAATAGTGTTAAATGTAATGTAAAGAAAGACTCGCAAATACATCTGAAATGTCAATCACATCTGCAGCTTCGGGAAGAACAATTGTGAGGAAATCCCTAGATCAAAAGCAGTGGCACCCATCTCTAGTACAGCTACGATGCAAAAAGAACCAGGCCATAGTGCTTGTAAGTAGAGTTGGTACATAAAAAAATGAAAGGAAACTGAGTTTTTATAATTTCCCCAAAGAAATTGGACTTCAAGACATCAGTGAAAACTTCATAGGTGGGTGCCCTGGTGACAGAGGATATAAAGAAGGCAGCGGTGCTGAATGCCTTCTTTGCCTCTGTCTTTACTGCTGCAGACTCTCCCCAGGAGCCCCGGATCCCTAAGGCCCCAGAAGGAGTCAGGACAAAGGAGGAGTTTGCTTTGGTAGATGAGGATTGGGTTAGGGATCAATTAAGCAATCTGGACATCCATAAATCAATGGGTCCAGATGGAATGCACCCGTGGGTGCTGAGGGAGCTCGTGGAAGTCATTGCTAGGGCTGCTCTCCATCATCTTTGGTAAGTCATGGGCAACAGGAGAGGTGCCTGAGGACTGGAGGATAGCAAATGTCACTCCAGTCTACAAGAAGAGCAAGAAGGAGGACCCAGGTAACTATAGATCAGTCAGCCTTACCTCCATCCCTGGAAAGGTGATGGAACAACTTATTCTTGGCACTATCTCTAGGCATATCAAGGATAAGTGGGTCATTAAGAGCAGTCAACATGGTTTTACCAAGGGTAAGTCGTGTTTGACCAGCTTTATAGCCTTCTATGAGGAAGTGACTAGTTGGATAGATGATGGTAGAGCAGTAGACGTGGTTTATCTTGATTTCAGTAAAGCATTTGACACTGTCTCCCACAACATCCTCATAGATATACTGAGGAAGCGTGGTCTTGATGATCAGGTAGTGAGATGGATCGTGAACTGGTTGAAAGGAAGAAGTCAGAGAATTATGGTCAATGGGACAGAATCTAGATGGAGGTCTGTGACTAGTGGAGTCCCTCATGGGTCGGTACTGGGACCAGTGCTGTTCAGTATTTTCATCAACGACCTGGACGAGGGAATAGAGTGTGCCCTCAGCAAGTTTGCTGATGACACTAAACTGGGAGGAGTGACTGACACACCAGAAGGCTGTGCTGCCATTCAGTGAGACCTGGACAGGCTGGAGAGTTGGGCAGGGAGAAACTTGATGAAATTCAACAAGGGCAAGTGTAGAGTCTTGCATCTGGGGAAGAACAGCCCCATGTACCAGTACAGGTTGGGGGCTGACCTGTTGGAGAGCAGTGTATGAGATAGGGACCTGGGGGTCCTGGTAGACAGGAGGATGACCATGAGCCAGCACTGTGCCCTTGTGCCCAAGAAGGCCAATGGCATCCTGGGGTGTATTAGAAAGGGTGTGGTTAGTCGGTCAAGGGAGGTTCTCCTCCGCCTCTATTCTGCCTTGGGGATGCTGCATCTGGAATATTGTGTCCAGTTCTGGGTCCCTCAGTTGAGGGAGGACAGGGAACTGCTTGAAAGAGTCCAGCTCAGAGCCATAAAGATGATTAAAGGAGTGAAACATCTCCCTTATGAGGAAAGGCTGAGGGAGCTGGGCCTCTTTAGCTTGGAGGAGACTGAGGGGTGACCTCATCTTGGCCACAAGGGCACATTGCTGGCTCATGGTCATCCTCCTGTCTATCAGGACCCCCAGGTGCCTTTCACCTACAATGCTGTCCAGCAGGTCAGCCCCCAACCTGTACTGGTACATGATGTTTCTCTTCCCCAAATGCAAAACTCTACACTTGCCCTTATTGAACTTGATAAGAAATGCTTTTATGACTCGACAGGTAAGGAAGAAATATTTTACTTCAGAGTTTATGGAAAGATAATCCTTATATTATGTCAAATCTGGTACTATCTAGTTAAGAAAACGAAAACTCAGAGGTATAATAAAACTGAAGCAGTGTCTTTGAGTCTTGAGACACTGTTGTGCTTAGGGCTTTTTATTTTAGTTTTGAAAAGTTCCTCCACTTTTTTAATTAAAGTGCTACAACATGTAAATATTGGGTTTTGCTGCAGGGTTTCTAAATGTCAGTGTTTTTCCTTTCTACTTTTTTTTTTTCTTTTTAAAACAAGGTAATTCACCCTTTAAATCCATCTTGTCATCTCCACTAGCAAGAGGGTAAAAAGGGACCATATGGCTACCTTATCTTTGTTTCTTTACAATTAAAATGTCATCACTGAATTGGTAAGTTCTCACTATAAACATTATTCCACAGTCTTGTGCTTGCTGAAAAACTGAGCTGAAATTTAGCATGGTTGGAGTCCAAAAGAAATTTATGAAAATTCTGGTCATCATTTTGAACCAGCAGACCTTTTTTTTTTTTTTTGCATCCCTGCAAATCATGTTGAGCTGGACAAGTTCACAATCTCTGATCGATATTTTTCTGTTGATACTTTAAATTAAGAAATCAAATTAAATATTTGATCATTTCTTTTAATGCAGTGTAATCCAATACACACATTAGCCAGCTACAACAGGTTACAAGCTCTTATTATTCTCTGAGAGAGTGTTGAAAGTAAGACAGGTCCATTCTTTTCAGTCTGAATAATACATGTTTATGAAAGTCTAAAAATGACTCAGACTTTATATATATTCATTTGATAAATTGTGATGGTCTATGAAGTGAATAATACATCATCTGACTCCTCCATTTCTGCTGAAGAATTTCAGTACTACATACTGCAGCAGGCCTGCAACTTTCATCCTAATAGTGAATAATTACACATATCAGACGATGTATACTGAAATACACACAGTCGGATAAATTAAAGATGAGGGTTCTTCAACATCGTGGGTTATAAACAAGATCTATAACCTTACTGAGTGCAGCTGTGGCTCTAGATAAGTAGTGTAGGTACACACATCAGAAAGTCTGCAGTGATGTTGGTATTTTGTGTCTGTTGAATTTATCGGAATGGAAATCTTGCAAAACAGAGTTTGAAATCTCCAACTGAAGAATGCCAATACCTGCAGGATTTGCCCGAGGAAGCCAGGATTCTCAGAAGGATCTGAATTTGTGAAAAACACATAGGTTAGCCATTTCTTAATACATTTTAAAATGTTAACCCTTTCAGAGCTAGTTTAGGTTTTATCAAAGGTTGTTCACCTTCATGCTTTCACAGTTAGCCAGAGTGTTCCTCCTGATATATGTCTGTTCATGCTGCGGTTATAAAATCTTTGCCATTTGCAGATAATCAGCATTGCTGTGATATGCATGATATTCTCAATGTGAGCTAATGGGAATGCTGTGAATATCACAGTAACATTTAAAACTTGTAACTCTAGTATGTAAAGCCTCTGTAATACTGGTCACTGGTGATATTAAGTATTGCTCTTTATCCACTTGCTGCACAGGAGGTTTGGGCTAGATTGTGGTGTACTCAATTGCATGCTGTTAGATAGGGCTGCAGTAGGTTTGTATTCTCAGTATTTATTTCTAATTAATTGTTCCTTGGGACTAGGATCACTTTTATACCACCCTTGTTACTCTTGTGCTTTTCAAAATAACTCATAAGTGGCATAAAAGAGAAATCTGACATGGTGAGTTATTGGGAGTTTGATGTTTGTTGAGGATTATTATTCAGTAATACACTACCTGTGTGGTTTTCCTTTTCTTATTCTTTTAAAATGAGAATACAATTATATTTTAAATGCAATTTCATATGTGTTCAAGGAGTGTTATAATAGCAACAAAAATGTATTAGGGGGCAAAGACATACATAAGAATACTTGAAACCCCTCAACAAGATTTGCAAGGTAGTCTCATTCAGTATTAAACTTCTCCAGATTTATATCTATATATTCTATTCATTGGAAAGGCCCACTTTTAAGCTTGACTCTTACAAAGAAGGCAGTGGTTATTTATTCCTCTGGGAAATTTATTCCCTGCATCCCACCAATTGTGTTAGATTTTATTATAGGGCAGAATGAAGAATACATCCATATGAAAAGCATATATATACATATAAAAGTGTAGGTATTGCATGTAGTGCATGGCATGTTACATGCAGCTTTTCTTATGCTTGAGCCCTAGTGTTCACTGTGGCATATAGGGCATTTGTCAGCTGCCAGTATTTTCATAAATTCATAGAATCATAGAATCCTAGGGGTTGGAAGGGACCTCGAAAGATCAAAATTCATTCTAAAAGGTCCCTAAAAGATCAGTTGTTCATCTCTGTTTCTTATTATTTTGTTATTATAGGCTTTGGTGTCATTGTCCAGGGGTAAACACTTCCATTCTCTTATATTTTCAACCCATCTTTGTTCCTTATTTCCAAACATGAATCAGACTTTTTGACAGTTCTGAACACATCTTTTCCTTTTAAGTTTTTGTATTCTGTTCTCTTGGGTTTGGTCTGTATTATTGTATAAGAATTAACCTCCTTTATTTGATCCTAACTTTTTATGTCAGTTTCACTTCCCAGGCCCATGTTTACTACTGCTCTCATAACTTCATATCTCTCCCTCTCAGTACTTTAAGAACCTATTTTCTTTATCTTTAAACCATGAAAAATAAGCAGTCTACAGGATATTTGCTGGACACCAGAAACCTGTTTGATCAATTAACTCTTGATTCTTATGGTTGAATGTGTTCTTGAACTAAATAATCAGGGCCCATATGGAACATGGCATGATATTGTGACTATAGGATTTTTTTGTGTGTGTGTCAATGCTTTCTTTCTTATTAATAAACATATCCAGAATAATGTAAAAAATGCTTTTCCTATATATTTTGGCAAAAATGTATTACCTTGTTCAGTGGTATTCAGCAGAATATGAGGTTTGAAACTGAGACTAATTGTTTTTTTCCTCATGTGTATTCTTACATGCCAGCAGCCTTATTGCTGAAAAGTGGATTTCAGATTAAAAAAAAACCCCAAAATTTAAAAAGAATCTTCAATTTCAAAATCCATTTTATTTTACTTCCTACAGGCAGAGAGGTTGGAACTGAATGATCTTTATATGGTCTCTTCTAAGCCAAACCATTAATTACTCTCATATTTATGTGCTTTTTATATTCCTTTTTGGGCTTTTCCATATAGTTTAGTAGGAACCAGACTGGTTATCAATAAGTTCTTTCAAACCATGCCTTTCCATGAATTTCCGTTAAATTCAGTAGTGTGCATCCTTTTCTTCTGCATGATAACACTGTTACGTTTTTACCATTAACAAATCTGTGTTATGTCTGACATGTAAAGATTTTTCTGATATCCTTTTCTGAAAGAGCTGCCTTGTCACTTCAGGTTATTCCTAATGTTGTCTGATTTAATTCCATTTCCTTCCAGGCAGAATTTATTTTGACTTCTAGGAACTGCTGTCAGTCCTTTAATATAGTGCATTCTTCCTCATTATGGCTTTTTTTTGTTTGTTTTACATTTAGTGTTTTAGGTACTTCACTTGATCATGTTCCTCTTGGTTTAAATTTGCTAGACATCCAAAGTGAAGGTCTTTTTGTGTTTTTGTTTAAGTGAGCAAGTTTTGTGATTTTTAATCTGAAGGATGCTTCCCCTTAAAAATAATACTAATGTAAGACTTACATCTTTTGGTAACATCCTGTAGTTTAGACCCCAAAGAAGATTGTTTTCATGGACTCATCACCACTGACTAAACAATAGCCATGTTAATAATACTTTTCTTGCTTGCAAAATATGGTTTCTATTATTTTCATAAGTGCTTCTTGTCTTTTTTTGTGTGCCATTCCAAACTATGGGAAAGTCTCTCACAAGCTCTTGATTTAATTCTTTTTGCAGAGGATTTCTTCTCTCATGTAAATAATTTGTGGTTGGAATAAGAGCTTCATTGATGTTTATGTTTTGGAAATTTTAACAATTAGCTGGCAATCTGGTAATTTATGTCATTGAATTCCATTTTTGGAAAGTCATGTGTACCAAAAAATCATCTCCACATCTCTTTATTTTTAATGCTAAGTACCATGGTAAAGGCTTAAATCAATTTTTATGATTCACTTGCAGTGGATGGTACCTTAAGCAGCAGACCAGACAACTCAACACAAAGTCAATTAATACAACAAATCCCTTGTTTTGCCATATTTGGAGTCTGGTTGTATCTTTTCCTGCAAGTATTGAAGAAGAGTAGATAAGAGTTTTGATTTTTCACCTTGAGTTTTACTGAGCTTTCAAGCAGTGTTTTCGGCTGCCGCTTCTGTCCCTGACTGAGCTGGCACTGTGCCTGTAAGACTAAAAGCCTTCAAGGGATGAAAGAAGTGTACACAATGATATGTGTCATCTCCAGAATCATATGAGCAGAATGATACTGAGGATTTTCCCATTTTCAGCATCAGGTCTGAAGTCCTCTGTCATGTTGATTAAACCCACATAAATAGTAAGCGGTTTTGCAGAATCTTGCACACACATTTACATACACACACCCATCAGTTTATGCTTGAGAGGTGTGAAGTTCTGCCTACAAAAATCCTGTTTATTTTCATCCCATACTACAATGACAAACAGAAGAGCTGGGGAAATCCACTCAGCTGCCTGTTGGATGGGAAGATTTAGTCCACCCATCTCCACTCCTCCTCCTCCCCCCCGCCCTACACTGTGCAGTTTCATGTGCTAGGAACTGCAGCTCTGGAGCAGTGCACAGGGACTGGGATTCCCTAGTCTCTGTGTACCTGTGTTAGCTGTCTGAAATAGCAAATATCATCTTGGAATTTATTTAAGGTTCTGTAGCCTACTGTGTATAAATACTACTGCATGCATATGTGTGGTGGTATAAAAAATAATTTGCAAAATCAATTGATACATCTTTTTCTTAAAAATACTACTTCTTGACCAAGTTATCAAAGAATATCTTTGAGATACAAAAATATTTAGTAAAAACTAGTATGGCACGTGAGCTTTTGGGGTGTTTAGGACAACAAACATGATGTTTAATACCTAGTAGCACGTCTAATAAGATGCAAACTGTGTCTCTAATAAATCAAGTTATTTTATTTTGGCAATTGAGGTATATCACATAGGCAATAGTAGTCAAGACAGTGAACTTATCTTTATGGGTTTTTTTGGTTTTATTTCTCTTCTATTACTCTGAAAATCAGTTTTTAAAATGTATTTGAAAAGAGCAGCTTTTCATCTGCTGAGAATCTGTATGCTAAACTTCAGCCCAAAGTGAATTTTCTTTCTGCATTGTCTGATCCTGCGTCTTTGAAGTCCTTGTGAAAGGGATCTTGCTGATTTCAGAGCTCTTAGTCTCAGGCCTAGAGGTTAAACCCTTTAAAAAAAAAAAAAAAAAAAAAAAAAAAAAAGGAAGTGGGGGAAAGAGCTGTCAAAATGTGGTTGAAATATATGGGTGAATTACAAGCTTCAGCACCAGTGAGCTGAAGTGAGCTGCCAGTTTGGCAGCATATGTATTTGAAGGCTTAACCTAAAGTTAAAGGTTTTGTTTTTCAAACTTGTGCAACTACAGTTGCCATCATGGGCTCACATATAGGAAAGTGTAGCTCTGAACATGTAGAAACACCCCTTTCATTTTGTGTGGACAGCTTATTTGATCACTGGAATGACATCTTGGCTTTTATCCCTGCTCGTCAGTAGCCATTCTGTTTTCACAGAGCAGAAGTGCCAAGTGTGAACTGTTGCCCTCTTTCTTTTCCTTTTCATAAACATAATGACAAGGATGAAGCACGTCACTCCCTCAGCTGGTCTCTCAAAGCCAGCCTTAAAAGCGTGGAAACTGTCATGTAGAGTTGACTTCAGACACTGTAATATAAAAATAAAGTGAACTAGTCCCAGCTTGGTTTAGGATAAGACATTCAAGTCCTGTACGTTGATCTGGTCTATCTGATATCTGTGAGCTATGGCCAGGGCACCTGTTTTTATTTTGAATTTAAAAAAAAACCTATTTGTGATTTTTTTTTTTTTTTTCTAAACCGTAAATAAAGGGAAAATGTATTTCTCTAAGCCTTGTTCTCAACAAGCAAGCATTGCTTACGATGCTCTTTCTTTTTCTTCCACACCCCCTCCTCCTGCAGAATCGCATCGGGAATTCCTTCACAGGCCTGCATCTGGATATGTGCCAGAGGAGATCTGGAAGAAAGCTGGTAAGAACTGTTTAAAAACACTAACTTAGTCTTCTGGCAGCTGTGTGCAGTTGTTAATGCACTGATGTTAGGAATGAGAGGAGGAGGGGAAAAAAAAAAAAAGAAGAAAAGAAAAAAAAGGCTTGATAAAACAAGAATAAATTTTGTTTAATAATCTTAAACTGGAACTGATCAGAATATAAAATAATTTTTATAATAGAAGCTTCTGCTTTTATGGTTAGGGGATATCAATAGTTCCACTAAGGACCCCTATTTTCAGGGCTTATAATGGTTTCAGGATGAAACTTAATATTTTAAAGTTTCATTCTGTTAGCAATTTTTAAAAAATGAAGTTGTGGGGGGACTTTTTTTTTCTTTCTTTTTTTTTTTTTAAAGGCTCTAAGATTCTTACCTAGTTACATTGAGAATTCCCAGAGGAGAGGAAGAAACCTAAGTGTACCTGTTGAAAAAAACCTTTAGCTATGCAATGTAACCCTTCCTTAATTTAAAAAAAAGATTTTGTGCCTGGCAGCTCCCAGTGAAGTCTGTGCTTATAAACTTGAAAAGCTTTCAGTGAAGTAGGCAAGATCGCGTCTCTGCAGCTGCTCTGGGTGGTTGCTCAGGCATCTTCCCCAAGCTTGGGAAGCACCATGAGCAGGTGTTGTGGTTGTGCAGTCATTTCTTCAACACTTCGAAACTACCTGAGCACAGGAGTTTCTTGGTGAGGATCCTGTTACAGTGCTGGAGCTAAACTTTTGCTCTTTTGATGTTGATATCAGAGCCTCTCTTGTTTTCAGAGTGGCCAGGATGTAGCTCTTGAACTTCAGCAAGGTAGTTGAGCTTCTTTTTATACACTCATGCACACACCCCTCTTTTGAACACCTGTATAACCATGAAGTGCACTGCAGCTGTCTGGACAGGAGTTAATGATTAAATGGCAAATATGAGCAGTTTTGATATTTTCTGATCAAATCTCCTGTAACTGCTTGCTGCTTCTTGGTATATTTTAAACTAGATCTAGAACATATATGTAAAAATGTTCTGCTGGCGTATTTTTGGATCAAACAAGAAGTTGTATTGTTTGTGTGATGTGGGTTTATCATGTAAAGTCTACATTTGTTAATATGTAAATTAATATTTTTGGAACTGCTGTGGTTTATATGAAAAATAGCAAAAACAAACTGCACGTCTTTCTTTCTCCAAGGAAAGTGTAGCGTTTGAAACTCAATGCTCTTTTGTACCCAAAAGTATTCTTATAATTTGTTTTGCCATATTTATATTAACTTCTTAAACAAAAAGTAAGAAGAAAACCTGCAGTCCCAGGAAATCTCAGTAAGAAGAACATTATTCAGCAGAATTTCAGCAATTTCATTCTATTTATAACATTTAGGTGATGTCAGGTAATTTATGACTTCTGTATGCAGTGCAGAAGAAAAGTAGTTTCATCATAATCTAGCAATGCAAATTAATCAAAGCTCTCGGCCTGAGCTCTAAAAGAGGATGTATGTTCACATTGTTTATATCCACATAGTGTATAGTGTACAGGAGCTGTGTCATGTCATCTTGTGTACACATATGTCATCAGCTCCTTTGGAACAAAGTTTTTTCCTTTGGACCCATTTCCAGTCTTAGCTTTCATGCTGATACGATTTACATCAGTTTCCTTGTATTAACTGAGAATGTCTGTGAATTGGAGAACAAACTAAGTCTGACTCTCTACAGGATTCACACCTGTATCTGTTACTAAAGGTAGTAAAACCTCAGAGAGCATACTGCTTTTCATAAATCACAGGCCTTCATTTTTAGGAGGGTGCACTGAAGTAGGAGGTCTCCACAATTTCATCATCAGTTCAAGCTGTGCAGGTGCATTTCAGCTTTTTAAGAATAGGTCTCTAGTGCCATTTGGGATGCTCTGTAGTTTCCTGCCTGGACCACAACTGCTAGTCAAGAAGGCTGCAAATCTCACAAGTAATTTCTTCTGGCTCAGTATGGATATGTTAGCGTCTCAAATGCCTGTAAAGATCAATGTGTGAGCAGCTCAATAAAGTATAAAAGTCTGATTGGGATGCAGAATTCATTGTACTGAAGGAATTTGGCATAAAAATGGTTAATAAGCCATGTCAAAAGCACATGAAAAAGGGTTTCACTTAAAACTTTTGGAGTTTTATAGACTCCAGCACTATTCTTTAAATATACCAAGTTAAATGTGTGCTTTTGTGATTGTTGGAGCAAGCACTTAGTGTGCAGCATCTTGTGAATTAAAGCCATGTAAACCTAATTCAGTGGAAAGTCATCTGTGTCCTGATTCATCTCATTGAATTTTGGGTATATAGATGAAGAGTCCAAGCTAAGTTCTTGGTGTTCATCAATAGCCAAGAGTTAGGCAGGCATGTGAAGAGCATCAGTCAGATCACAGGTTGGATGACATGCTCTCTGGAAATACCTAATCCTCTTTATTAAATGCTGAGGCAAACCCAGGCCTACTGTGGGCTGCTGCCTGAGCTTCTTTCTGTGCCATGAGGAAACTGTCTTCTAGCCATCTCTTATCACAAGGCCCACTTACTGTTCATGGCAGTTCTGGACTGGAGTTACTCAAGTTACTGCAGTTAAGTTCTGGAGTTACCGAACACTGGTGGAATGACCATACTTTGTTATAAAAAGCCAGTAAAGACCCTGCACATTCTCCAGGGGAGTTCTTAGAAAGAAATTGAGCATTTTGGAGTATGAAGCTGATAAAAATTGCATCACCATCTCCCAGTGACCTTCTTTGCCAGGGTCAGCCTGAGTGTGAGATGATGTAAAATGTCATGGTGGTACAGGTGGCACCCCTACCCACCATCTCTCCTTTTTCATCATGTTGGCTGAGGAGGGTGACCAGGAGCTGGTTGGTGAATCATGTTGGGTTATATACAGGAGTGAATGATACGTTGAGTACATTTTCTGAGTCAGCTCCAAGGACCTCTGATCACACTGAGTAACAGCTATTCCACACAGGCTGTTTGCTCCTTGGAGCTTCTGTCATGAGTTAGTGCTACTCAAAGAGAAGAAAGATTTAAATTGCATTCCTAAAAAGACAGAGCTAGTTTATGCCAAGAATGCTTAGCATTAGTCGGAAAATACAGCATATAAAAATAAAATAGAGCATGGATATACATGCATCTTAGATATTTGTTTTTAAAAATTCCATATCCCATGTTTTCTGATACTAGAATCTAATTATTCTTCCTTTCTCTGGAAAAACAGAGAACGGAAGAGTGCTGGTATCATTCTTGGTCTTCATAGCTCAGCATTGTTAAGGGAAATAAATCTTCACTGTCACTCATAACTTTTTCTGCAAATATATTTCAGTTTTTATTGTTATCTGAAACTGTAAAGCCTGCCACATTCCTATAAAATATGTGTAGGTACTGGAAACATTTATTTTGAGAAGATGTGCCAAGAATCAGTGATAGGAAATTGTGTCTATTTTATTTAGTTAATCATTACTTCATACAGTAGTGAAATGGTACATTTTGACAAAAAAAAAATGTTGCTTTTCAACTATGTTTTTTCACACTTAGTGTATCACTACACAAATTCTGCTGTCAAAGGTAGTGAAATCTAATCCATAGTTTATGCCAGTTAAGAAGCAGTCCTTTTTCATCAACATATGGCCCCAGGAGCACATTTAGCACCTTCACACTCTTAGAAGCTTTGCATAAAAACTTGTGCAATACAGAAGAATATAAGGTTCAATTTATGTATTTGAACTGAAAAGAAAGTGATTTTGTAGGATGAGAAACTATAAAATTAAAAGTTTCTGTAAAAGCTTGGGAGTGTTCTGCATCTGTCTTATAATAGTTTAAACTGGCATTTCTAACTACTGCAAGCACCTCAACGCAAGAGTGAATTTATATGATGTAATGAAAGTGCATCATGGCATACAAAGATAATTTCTATTCATAGGATATATAAGCAAAAATACAGATTTTCTCAAAGAAATCCACTTTGTTAATAACAGCAGTTCATAGACACAAAACGTCTGTATTTAAGTTGCCTCATTTTTATGAAAATGGCAATAAAATTGCATCTGTATATTTGCCTGTGTATATTTCTTTTCTCACGATCAGTGAATGTTTGCAGTTGGTAATAAATATTCAAGCACCTTGCAAATGTCCTACCAGTTCCCTTTGCTGATCTGTGTGTGCCTGTGGGACTAGAACAGGAATGCATAATTTAAATATAAATTGCCTGATTTGCATATACAATTAGACTAGCTGCAGCTTTGATCGTAAGCAAAAATTATTGTCCTGTATTGCCACTTAGATAGAATTTTAATTCACCTTGAATATTCAAAGTAAATTAAGGCTTGGCTGTATGGTTGAAGGGTATGATTTTTTTTCTTCTCCTGAGTCTTTCCCCTAAACAACATTTATGGTAGGGTAATATAAGGGCATATTTTCAGCCTCATAAAAACAAAGACATAAGTTTTATCTCTGAATTCCCTTCCCTCAAGAACTTCAGTTGAAACATCTCTCGCAGACATGCACACATGTAATACACACACACACAGAATAACAGAACTCTACTTTCATTTTAATTAATTCCATTTTAGCCAGTGCATGGCTTAAAGTGAAGTTGCTTAATAACTGAAAATGGTGGCTTAACATAGTCTTTATTTTTTTAAATAACAAGTGCATAGCTATGAAACATAAAAACTCAAGACAGATACTGACTTAGTGTCAAGACTTCGGTCTGTGTGCGTGTGCATTCATGCAAAGACATGGGCTAAATACATGGCCTAAAACTCAGACCCGTAACACGGTTGTAATACTTAGATTTTAATCTACAGTAAAACGTTTTTTATTAGAAATCTATGTTTTTAATTAAACAGAACATTTAATTAAGGTGGGTTTTAAGTGGATGAAACAATTAAGTGCAAACACTTGAATGAAACATGTCATAATTAGTTTTAATAGAGTGTTAATTTGTAGTAGGTTTGCCAAGTTAATAATTACTGCTTATTAAATTTTCGATTAATCATTGTCATTTTGCTTTGAATAAAGATGAAAATTAGATAAACTAATTCAGAGGGAGGATGGTTTCCTTGTTAATTAGAGCAGTTAATTAAAAAAAAAAAAAGTACTCGTTTTAGTTGTCAATTAAAAGATTGTTCATTAGTAAAATCTTTGCACTCTTCCTGCGTCAAAACCCAAATAACTAATTTGTGACATCCGTGTTTTCTGGAATAAAAGATACGATGCAAGTATATACTGAAGAAACTGCTGATACTGACTTAGTTATTTTACAAGACACACAAAGGTTTGAATTTAATGAAGCTTTGTGCCCCTGCTCGGTGCTAATTGTGCACTGAGGCCTTCCTGGCTGTGGCGTGCTCGAGAGCTCTGTGGAGCCAGGAAGTTGAGCCTTCACAGGGTAAACATGGGTTTGAAGGAGAGATCAAGAGGTCAAATAAATGTCCATAAACAAATTTTAATTTTGGCTCATAAAATTGCATGTCCAGGAAAAGATTTTAGACCAGTGATTTAAAAATTTTAAATAAACTTTTGGAGTTTTTTTTAACATCATGTATTTATTCATTAACATATGGAAAAAATTGTTAATACCTATAAATCGTACTTGAATTTCCAGAGCTTAAAGATACATTTTTTAAAAAGTCTTGCATACTATGTCTTAAATAATACATTTTGCCAAAGATATCCATAAACCTGTTGTCTCTCAAATCAAATTTTCCAAGTAAAATGTTAGAAGAGATTGAAAAAATAACACATGAGAGATTGGAAATGTCTCTGCTTAAAGAAGTACTGACTATGAAACAAAATAGCAAGAATCACCTCAAGTATTAGAGACTTGTGAGAGCTTTTGGTGCTGATGGGAAAGTAAAGAAGCACCTGGGTGGTCCTGAAGAGTCTTGAGGACCAAGGTTTCCTCTGTGTCTTCTTCAAAATGAAGGCTCTCTATATGATACTACAGCACCTGCTTCATATCACACATCAGTCCTATGTAGGCCTGTGCCCAACGTCCTGTGCTGACGAAGTTTTCTACCCTCTTTGTAGAGGAAGCTGTCAATGAAGTAAAGCGTCAGGCGATGGCCGAGCTGCAGAAGGCCGTGTCGGAGGCGGAGCGGAAAGCTCACGACATGATCACTTCAGAGAGAGCTAAGATGGAGCGCACTGTCGCCGAAGCCAAGCGCCAGGCTGCAGAGGATGCACTAGCTGTTATCAATCAGCAGGAGGATTCAAGCGAGGTAAGGGCTTTGCTGAGCAGGCCTCAGCTGTGGCTGCAAACCGTAGGTCCACCTGGGCTGACTTAATCTGATGACACAGGCCACTGGTGTGACCTCAGGGTTCATCACCCACTGTTAATTGCTCACACAGAATCATAGCATGCCAGTTTGGAAGGGACCTCAAGGATCATCTGGTCCACCCTTTCTAGGTAATAATATAGTTTAAATGAGATGGCCCAGCACCCTGTCAAGCTGAGTCTTAAAACTGTCCAATGTAGGGGAATCCACCACTTTCTCTGGGAGACTATTCCAGTGTCTAACTGTTCCCATAGTGAAAAAATTTATTCTGGAGTCCAGTTGGTATCTCCCCAGGACTAACTTGTACCTGTTACCCCATATCTTTTCCATGCGACTCCTTGTAAAAAAAATGTCTTCATCTTATTGCAAGCTGTCCTTTAAGTGCTGAAACATAATAAGGTCTACCCAAAGCCTTCTTTTCTCAAGGTCAAACAAGCCCAGTTCTCTCAGCCTTTCCTCATATGACAGGTCCTCCAGTGCTCTGATCATCTTCCTGGCCCTTCTCTGGACTCTTTGGATGCAAATTTCAGGCACATGCTGAGCTCTGAATTTCCTTGGCTATGTTGTAATCTGAGCCCAAAATAAACTGGTGAACTCACCTTTTAACTGCAGCTCAGGGTTCTTATGTAGCTTTTCAGTAGCTTTATTTTAAAGCTCTTCAAACTGCCATATTGAAGTGAAGCAGTCTTCTTACTGAAGTTGCTTGGTGGAAAATATTTCACACTGAAATCTAATTTAATCAAATAAATTATCATTTAAGAGATCGTAGAGTGAGATGGCTAAAAGCTTATCTGGGGAAAGTGTGGGATGTAGAACCGATTAGGAAAAGATGATAACTCCTGTAGAACAGAATGCAAATGTAGATTTGCAAGTGTTTACTTTATTTTGAATATGTTGCTTTGACTGCAGGGAATATTTGAGAGTTGAGAAGTGGGCAAACAGCATTTGGAAGGGAGAAAAATAGGCTGGAAGAGGAACAAAGAGTAAAGCAAAACAATGTTAGCAATTGATTTACTTTCAGACCTGAGAATGCCTTGGGTCCAGGACATCCAGCAGCATGACTAGCTGGAAACTTGGAGTGGAAAACCAGTGTGTGTGTGACCAGTGCTGCAGCAGTCTAGATAGCAATTAAATTTTACATCTGTTACAGAAGAGCAACCTCCTAAGTTAAAATTGCCCTTAAAGAAACACAAAGAAGTGACATCAGTTAGAAGTTGAGTGTGATCTTCAGCTCTCAAGGCCACTGAAATAAAAGAACATTACTTTCATGAAGTATACATTGTTCTTGTACTAACATCTTGGCTGTAGTATAACTACTTTATAATATAAATTCTAAATTGTAGGGAGTTGGAAAAAGAGTGGATAACGATACCTGTTGTGTAGAGATACGTGTTTGTACACTAGTGTCAAAGCACTTTTCATGGGCTGAATGGGCAGCATTGTTGAAGAGTCACTTAAGTTGAAAAATGCAGATGAGCTAGCTGCAGCATACTGAGAAAACTGGCAAAAATCATGAGCAGATAGTCATGCTGCAGTATGCACCCATAATTTGAGGGGAGCGTAAGATTTTAATTCATACCAGGCTTCTCTGGAGATGAAAGACCATTGTGGGATCACTGAATGCCCAGAGTTTCTCCTTAATGTGTAGCAGATGAATAACAAGGAGACAAAAGGAATTGATTTTCAGCATCTGAAAGTTTCTCAGGAAGAAAGAGACTAGGGGAAGTGTATGTACCCTTTAAGCACTATCTGTTCCATTGTAAATTAAATGAGACATAAATCCAATTTATTGGCATTTTGTATCTGAGATACTCAAGGACATTTTTCCTGCACTATGTTGATAGAAAGGGCATTTGTCTGACTTTGCATCTTTAAAGAGCTGTCATTCATGTGTATATGTATACAAGAGGCTCCTATTGTAAAAATCAAAATTCCAAAGCCATTACCTTTGGAGGAAACAGCAAATTAAATCTGTTTAGTGAACTGATATTGGTGTAGGCAGGACAGAGAGGTAGTGCTTAATGTGCCAATACATATATACAGCTCATTGTTCCACAAGCAAATGTGCATCCAAAGGAGCATGTAGAGAGTTTGTGTGTTGTAGTTCTCTTCTGAGCAGTCATAGCTTTGGAAAAGGCTGTATAACAACAGACATCTACATCTCCACAAGAGCTGTTTTCGAGGTTATTCAGTTCTTGGAAACAGGACTTTTTTTAAAAAAGGCAAAAAAAATATTTTCATTCTAATGAAGGGTTCATACCCTTGCAGATGTTCTCAGGGCTGACACTGAGCCTCCTGGACCTGGACTAAACTACATACTTGGGAGCTATTTAAAATAAAATCCAGTGGCCTGGTCCCTCAGCTTTCACCCCTGTCATCATGAGTGGCACATCAGGGGGACTGTTTTGAGGTGAAAAATGCACAGTAAACCTGCAGGGACAGCTCAAGTTTACTCAGTTTGTGTTTACAGATGCTTGGTTAATTGTGAAGGGAGATGACAGTGATACTTATTTGAGAGTTAAATGTGTCCATTAAGTTTTGCAATTAGTTCCTCTTCGGCTTCTGATTATGTCAAACTCCAAACACTTAGGGGCAACGCTTCTCACAATTACCTGTTAATTTAGGCTGTCCATTTTTTTTATAACTCCTGTAAGAATGGACCAGACTTTTTCTTCATCTTTAGGGACATGAGATCAGTTTGCCAGTGTTTGAAAAGTGCTTCTCTGGAGATGAAAATTTGTGTTTATTTGAGATCAAGGAATAAAACACCACATTTGCTTTGGTGTTCATTATCTCTCAGGCTGAGAGCATAGCTCCTCATTTGTCTTGGTTGAAGTCTCCATAAACTTCTCTCTTTACAACTTTCAGCAGAACACTTCCAGCAATGTAGATTCCTGTGTACTAAAGCCACTGGAGTGATTTTTCCAAGGCTCTAACATTTCCAGTATAGGCTAGTATATAATCTCCATGTAGTTCCTGAGATAAAATTTTTCTCCCATGAGTGTCATTTGTTCTTTTGGCTGTGGAAACTATGAATGGAGATGAGAATTTGGCACCAGATTTCTAACATATCAGATACAATTTCCTCTGATCCCAGCCACTCCCTGTTTATTGGCAGGATTTGTCTCTTACAGCCCTTCATTTGTTATTCAGTAAAATGCAACCTGGACCTAGCTGAGGCTTCTTGGAGCTGCTCTGGTGTGAGAACTTTGTGGCATGATTTCTATTGCAGTCATCTCCAGAGTTCAAAGTACAGAGTTCAAAGTAGTAACCAGTACTAAAACTCAAGAATATTTTTTTATAATTTTAAGACCATACGTAGTCTTCTCATCCAAGAACTTCCAGAGGTCTCACAAAAAGAAGTAGACTGGTTTGTTTTGGTTTTGGTTTAATATATTTGTTGCTTTTGTTGTGGGTTTCATGGGGTTTTTTTCTTATTTTGTTTGGGGATTTTTTTTATTTTTTTTTATTTTATTTTTTTGCTTTGTTTTTAACCCAGAAAAAGTAGCATCTCTGGCTGCAAGACTGTCTGCAAGAAAACAGTGAAACTGAACATGTTGACTGACTGAAGCAAAATAAAGGGGGCTTAGGACAGTGAGAGAACTAATAGGGGAGGTATGATATTTGGAAGCATCTTGAATTTTAAGTGGTCTGCAATATTTTGAGAATAACAGCATAGTATAGTTTTAATTTCTTACCCTGACCTGGTCCATTGTTGAACTATTGTTCTTTGCTTATATTTGAATCTTTAGTATGATTTAATTTGCAGTGCCACTGTTTCAGTGTCTGCACAGTTACTTTCTAAAGATTTACACAGTTTGTCAACAAAAGCCCTTGCAACTGACCAGAACTTGTTCATTATTTTGGTTACTATAATGAGAGATTGGTTGAAGACCAGCGAACAGAGCACACTGCTGTTGGAAAGAAAAGAAAAGGAAAGGAGAAGGCCTACCTGTCTGCAGGGCTGTTCTCGAAGCACAAGTTATTTCTTTACCAGTTTTTCCTTGCAGTTGCTTGACAAAAGATGACCCATTCATCAGTAGTTGACTTGGCTAAGTACAGAAATATGTGTGAGCATCCTGCTCTTCAATGACTGCTGTCCTTGCTTTGGCTGCAATGTACTGTTGTGCAACTAAATTTCAATAGTAAGGGTGAACATCTTAGCAAAGAGACTGGCTGCCCAGATTGTAGGAAAGTGGGGCGGTAGTGGGGAGGGGTGGGCTGTGGAAATCATCAAAACATCTGTCTTTCTGCTCTGGTATAAAATGCCACTGAAAAAATCTGACACTTGGTGTTCTTCCTCACTTTTGAGTAACTCGGGGGCTGGGGACATGGAAGGAACACAAATGTTTCAGTTCTCTCTACTTAAAGCAGATGCTGACATCTGCTCAGATAAAACATGTAACTCTTTTAAGAGATGTGTAATTTTATGGCTTGTTTATATTGCAGCAGTTTATGTTGTATGTGAATATCACACTTACCTGACATTTTGAAGACAGCTGGGTTTGGTCTCTGCTGACCGATCCATTGAGACCAGGACTGTGCCAGCAAACCTGACTGAGCATCAGATGCTGTGATTCAAGCAAGCCTGGTTTTTAGCCTGGTTTTAAATTTAATACATATGTCAGTTAATGTTTAATTTTTTTGGCTGGGCATCTCTTCGAAAGTAGCACATCATCCCCTGCAGTGGTGGGTGGTACAGAGCCATGTGTTCTGCACAGGATCAGCCCAGATGTGATGTGAACATTGGCACTGCCCCAGACTGCTAAGCTAAGCCCTGCTAGCCAGCTTGTATGGCTCTTCGGATGCTGCTCTGCACTTCTGTTTTCAGGATTTAGCTTCTCTCATGCTGACTTGTATGAACATAGACATCCTTCACACAATAAACAGTGGTTTGGACAAGCCTGCAGCCTTCAGTGGTAGGTGTAACTTTACTAGAAGCA